AAATGGTATAGAGTAGTTAAAAATCAATATTTTACTACCAGAAAACTCTGCTTATCTGCAGGAGATTCCCAACAATAATACCCAATTGTTTAGTTGACCATTTTTTCATCGCAACTATAAATTATAGGTCCGCCAAAACCCACAAAAACCCCGATAGATGCAATGGGGTGACCAATAAAAAATCATTAGTATTAAAAAATGGTTAAATAAACAATTGGGTNCTTACACCTTTGCAAATATATAATTCAATATCAGTTGAAAAATCATCTAACTTTGAGCAATTAACTATTTCAGCCATTAATACTAAGTAATTTTAAAATGGTTTAAAAGCCGTCTGTAAAAGAAACATATTGGCTTTGAAGTGCCTTAAGCCAAATTCATTTTAAAGTAGGTGAAATTCAAATGCAGAGTCGGATAATTGACTGCTTTCTAGGACGTCGCCATGTTAAAGTAAACAGTTCGTTCGAAGGAAGAAAATCAGATCTTCAATTATTGGGGTGGGTAAGAGACTTGGTGAACATCAATATTTAAACTAGTTTCTTTCCGTACTGGGTAGGCATAAACATAATATGTGTGGTATAAATACGAGTACATACTCGTAATGCACATGCATTAGGGTGGTCCAAAATGTTTGTGAAAAAGTAAAGTCGGAATTTTTATGCTCTCACCCCCTAGGATAGTTCTAAACCGAAAAAAATATACCCATATTGGAGGTCGCAAAATTGTCCATGTATTTCATATGGGAAAAACAACTTTTCGTAGAAATGGTATAGAGTAGTTAAAAATCAATATTTTACTACCAGAAAACTCTGCTTATCTGCAGGAGATTCCCAACAATAATACCCAATTGTTTAGTTGACCATTTTTTCATCGCAACTATAAATTATAGGTCCGCCAAAACCCACAAAAACCCCGNTTTGGGGTGGGTAAGAGACTTGTTGAACATCAATATTTAAACAAGTTTCTTTCCGTATTGGGTAGGTATGTGCATAAACATAATATGTGTGGTATAAATACGAGTATGTGCATTAGGGTGGTCCAAAATGCTTGTGAAAAAGGAAAGTCGCAAAATTGTCCATGTATTTCATATGGGAAAAACAACGTTTCGTAGAAATGGTATAGAGTAGTTAAAAATCAATATTTTACTACCAGAAAACTCTGATTATCTGCAGGAGATTCCCAACAATAATACCCAATTGTTTATTTGACCATTATTTCATCGCAACTATAAATTATAGGTCCGCCAAAACCCACAAAAACCCCGATAGATGCAATGGGGTGACCAATAAAAAATCATTAGTATTAAAAAATGGTTAAATAAACAATTGGGTATTATTATTAAAAGTATCCAGAAGAGAACCAGAGTTTTCCGATCGAAAAATATTGATGTTCAAGAATTCTATACCATTTCTACGAAAAAAAATTTATTCTTCCCATATAAAAATACATGGAAAACTTTGAGCGCTTTGAACGACCTCTAAAAATTTTTTTGATTTCAAAATAAAAAAAATAGGGGTATACTTTTTCGATAGAGAACAATCCTAGGGGGTGAGAGCATTACAATTCCGACTTTCCGA